AGCCGCGGGGTTGGAGGGGGTGGGTGGCGGATCCGAGGAGCCCTTCCCCTCCGCGGCGCCCCACCCTCAGTCCCACCTCTCCTTGGCCGCCCACCCTCTCTCCTCCGGGGCCGGGGTCTCTGGAAGTTGGGCTCCTGGTTCACCTTGGACCCCGGTCCGAGGCGGCTCTGGGATGCTCTGCGCTGGGAGCGGCGTCCCGACCCCCGCTCAGTCCCGTCAGACCCCTGAGTTGGCCTGGGGCTCCCTGCACGTTCTTGCGTGCACTGCACATTCCCTGGGACTCAGAGTTGGGGCCTAGCGCGGCCCCACAGCGGAGACCGTCCCTGCCTCCTCTGTCCATCCTCCCTATCACCCGGCCTCCAGATCCCCGGCAGAAAGGAGCCTGCTGGGAACTGACTGGGAACCGCGGAGTTGCTGAGCTTGCTCTGGCTTCTGCCCCTCCCACCTCCCCCCCACCACACACAAACACCAGAGCCAGGAGGGGGCCCCAGAGGGTCCTGCGAAGCCCCTCAGAACTCAACAGTGCCGGCATTTCCCCCTTGACCCTGGGGGCGGGCAGCCAGGATCTGCTCCTGTGACCCCATTCTGTAGGGGGACACTGAGAGCCTGGCCAGTTATAATGACTAGGCCTCAGTGGCGTGGTCTCCCCCTCCTTTCAGGTACCCCTGGGGGCGTGGAGGTCGTCAGGCTGGGTGGGAGCTTACCAGGTCTCTCCTTCCCGCAGACATGTCCTTCCGAAAAGTGGTTCGGCAGAGCAAATTCCGGCATGTGTTTGGGCAGCCGGTCAAGAATGACCAGTGTTATGAGGACATCCGAGTGTCCCGTGTCACCTGGGACAGCACCTTCTGCGCTGTCAACCCCAAGTTCCTGGCAGTGATTGTGGAGGCCAGTGGTGGAGGCGCCTTCCTGGTGCTCCCTCTAAACAAGGTGGGGCCCATCAGGGCTGGGGGCAGGACTGGAGGCGGCCTGGCCACTCACTCACTCCGTGTCCCTTATCTCGCCCATCCCCACACTGCCGGGAAGGTGTCATAATCCAGATTTACTGCCCTAGAGGTGTTAGCACAGATAAAGGCTTTTATTGCCACAGAGTCATTTGCAGAGGCCACACACCTTTCTTGCTCACCTGGTGATGCCCATGAAGCAGAGGTGGGCCAGGAAGAGGCAGAGTC